TGACCTACTCCCTAAGAAAATATCTTAGTATAAATCACATTGCAATAACATCCAATTATTTTTTGGTGTAAGGAACAGATCTCGACAACACTGACTTATTTCTTACTTCACTTAGAAACTCAGTGGCAACACCTGTTCTGATTCTAAGACCGACCATCAGACCATGCTGTTCCAATTTCTCTCTCTCGATGGAAAATACCCAGTAACTGCAAAACGCGATCTTAACTAACCAATTCCAAAAAGTATCATCGTGCAAGGTATTAATCATCCAAGTTAATTCCTTCTCAGATATTAACTTGCCAACTCAGCATGACAGTTAGCTTGGACTTATGGAATCCATTATGATGACCAATGGGGTAAACGTCATAAAGCTGGGTGACTAATTTATATAAGACAAGAGAGACCTTATTGCATTCAATAATCCAGCCTCATAAAAAAAAAAACCATACCCTTCTTCATATAAGGTTTAACCTAATCCACTGACTAGTCACTAATAGTAAATGACACAAAGAGATAGCAAGTAAAAAAATGTTAAATATAGATCAATTTTGAGTTTCCAAAATATAATTCTGTTTGAATGCCATGAATGCGGAAAGAGAGAGATGCATAAACTAGGGTACAGAGAGAGAGAGAGAGAGACTCACGTCGAGCCCCCACTTCAGTAAAATTCAAGAATTGAGGAATGTCCTCCAAAAACAAATTGATGTCTTCTAATAAAGGAATGACTACGTGAACCTGACGGAGGCAGAATTTGAATTCTTCGGACCGGGCAGAAAGGGGATCGCGAATGGAGCGGTTTCAGATATAAAATCAGATTGATAACTTGATGTATGGGCTAAATTGAGACCATAGTTGGAGTCAGTAGGACATGGGCAGTCGAACGGTGGTGGTCCGCGAACAAGGTGTTGGCCGAAGGAGACGATTCCGGCAGTTTTTACAGTTTCAGGTTGCTGGTTTTCTAGGTTGATTTCAGCCGTATTACTGGTTGATTTTGGGAAATGTTGAGTGGATATTGTAGAAGATGTTAGGCAATCCATTGGGACCAATTTCCGGTGGTTTTGGGGGCCAGACGGTGGCGGAAAATGGATTCATAGGCGGTGCTAAAGAGTAGGTTAAAATGGAAGGGGAACCAAAATGGGGAGGAATGAACGGAGTGAGGCGTGAATTAGTTAAGGTTTTGGGTTATTTTTGGTTCCGTATATAATTTAATTTGGGAAAAAAAAAATTTTCGCAACGATTGATTAAACGTTGCGAAATGTTAGACTTTTCGCAACGTTTATCAAACGTTGCGAAAGGTGAGACTTTTCGTAACGTTTGATAAACATTGCGAAAGATGACTCGAAAATTCTTACCTTTCGCAACGTTTGATAAACGTTGCTAAAGGTAAAATCTTTCGCAACACTCAATAAACGTTGCTAAAGGTATCTTCCGCAACATTTTTCTAAAAAACTTTGCCAAAACTCATTTATTAGTACCAATGGCAACATTCACCTACTAAAATGTTGCCAAAAGACCCTTTTGTCAACATTTGTTGACAAATGTTGCCTTTTTAATGTTGCAAACGACCATTTTTGTTGTAGTGTAAAAATCTTTTTAACTATGCCAAATAGGACATAATGCTCTTGTTTCCATTTCAAAATAAATAGGACATACATTGAGGACTTCATTTTGGTCCCTTCAGTCGGATAATATAAAATTGGAATGATTCTGGAAAAATTAGAGCACCTGGATTGGAGTCTACGTTGTATAAAGTCTAATGAATAAATGATAAAATTTAAATTTCATCTGCAATGGATTATATCCAAAAATTCTGAGAAAAAAAAATTTTAAAATTTGTTAGACTCAAAACTTCTATGTCTGGACTTGCTTGCTTATCACGAAAAATATTGGAATTGGACAAGCTAACAGCCAATCAAATTTTGTTGGATCAATCTCGATGCTCATAACAAGAATTTATGCACCTGCATTTTGTATCATAATAATTAATTTTTATAGTTAATATGAAAACTTAAAAGAAAAATCTCAATATTTCAAGAATTTTTCTATTAGAAATGTAATTGGGAGGAAAAGGATAATGATATATCAAACCAATTAATAAAGAAGAATGGGACGACTCATTTTCAGGATTTTAAGAGGAAGAATCTTCTATATATAAAGTGGCTATCTAACGGAATTTTGTTGGTTTAACGGAAAAACTAACGGAATTTGTTGGTTTAACGGAAAAACTAACGGAATTTCTTGTTTTAAACAGGCAATTGCGCATTCTTTCAGTGTTTTTATCATACATTTATATTTCGATATTCGATTGAAGCGATTCAAAATGCGTTGGAAAGCTAACACATCTGGCTACAACTTTGATTCAGACATCATTCTTCAATTCGATCACTTTCTATGCCAAAAATATGTCTCAATATAACGGACTATGTAACGGAATTTTTTGTTTTAAACAGGCAGCTGCACCTTCTTTCAGTGTTTTTATCATAACTTTGTATTCCGATATCCTATTGAGGCGATGCAAAATGCGTTGGAAAGCTAACTCATCTGGTTACAACTTTAATTCAAACATCATTCTCCAATTCGATCACTTCCTATGCCAAAAATAGGTCTCAATATGAGACTAAAACACCGGAGCATAACTTTTCGGTTGGAAATTGATTTGTGATCATCTTTTGACTAAATTTGATCCCCTTGACATCTTCCTTTATCCAATTGATTCCGAGCACTCTCAAATCTTCATCGTGAGATTCGGCACAACTTTTAAGTATTTACATTTTAGCCCCCGAACTTTGGATCCCTTACAATTTAGCCATTTCTCCAAATTTGTCTACTTTTGCTTATTTTCTTCAATCTCACCAACCTACATCACAATATCAAAATCACACATCTAATTATTTATCAATTACATAAACATTACATCATTAGTTATTTATAGGGTGTCTGTTTCTGCTTTTCAGCAGAAATCAAACCGTTGGCAACACAATTCATGCCGTTGGGAGCCGCAATTTTGGACCAATTCTCTCACTGTAGGGCTGTAGGTTTGAAAAAAAAAACGGTAACATAATCAATTTTCCTTCCTCCTTGCAGCTCGCCCAAACACGTCCTTAATTAACCAAAAAAAATTATATCTTTATTAATAACAAATTAATTATTAAACAAAAATATTAAATATAAACTAAGCAAACGTGCATTGCACGTTGCTTGCACCTAGTATATTATATAATTGTCAAGATTCTAGTGTATAATCTTCCAAGATATAGTTGCTAAGAAAAATACATCACGAAAAATTACGTAAATATCAAATACACATTCATAAATGCCCAATTAATCTACTAATGCACTAATTAATAACTGAAAATATAAATTAAACCGCTAGTCACTAATGTTATAACCGTTAAGTTAATGAGACCCTCACTAACTCATAGATTAATTCTTGCATTAAACTATAATGTAAATAACTGATATTCAACTACAAGTATTCAAGTTGAGTTTAAAGGGTTTCCTTTTAAAGATACGGTTAGCTGCATTAACCACTCAAATGTGGTAAAAGTTGCAATTAAAATCTTTAAGAATTATGAATTTATAGCAATATATAACCCCTTTTCGTGTCCTAAATTCTCATCAGTCAATACTTGCAAATTGAGATGACTTCCAAATTTGTTCTCTTGGTTTTTCTTAGTGTTCTTGTTTGCTCCACTACGGCAAGAAAGATCGTTGTCGCGGAGGGTCCTTTGAATGATCAATTATTACTCTTTCATGATTGGAGTTCAGGTG